ACCCAGGAGACTAGCAAAGCGCATCTGAATGGGCCGTGTGGGCCTGACCCGGGAGACTGTATCTGGCTGCTAGCCCCTTCTCTAGGGCTGTTCCTGTCCTCGCTGCTTCCTGTCCATGAGCTAAGCAGCTTTCCGCTCCTGTGTCCTTCGCCCATGGTGTTGCTGCCTCCAAGCCAGCCAACCGCGAACTGAAACCTCTGAACCCATGAACCAGTGCAAGCTTTTCCTCTTTAAGCCGTCAATTGTTTCGGTCACAGCCGTGAAAGCCGACTAACACAGGAAGTCCACTGGGCATGTGGAGGGCACGGAGTAGGTCTGCTCAGGGTTTCCTACCGGCCCAGAAACTCAGACACCGCAACAAGAGATCTTTGCTGGCAGACCCCGTGGGGAAGTCTAGATGAGACATGAAACAGATGTGTCTGCTAGGGATAGGTGGGGGGCCAGGGAAGAAAGCGCCAAGGGTTCCAGGCTGTTGCCCTGCCTTGGCTGTCAGGGTAATTCCCTCATGTCCCCCCTCGGGACTCTGGTCTCCAGCCGCATCACTGCTGTGCGATGAAGATGGAGAAGAAAAGCGACACTCACTTATTTATTCAGGAATAAGTAATGATTGAGCGCCAACCACAAACCAAACACTGGGTTACGTCCTAGGGACACAAGGGTCAATGAGACACAAGAGCCTTGGCCTCTCTGAGCTTATGCTGGGGCAGACACTCGGGGCCGCTTGTTCAATAGCCGCTCCACCTCCCACCTGAAGGCAGTGTCGTGAGTTTTCAGAACACCAAGAATAAAACTTTGTGTGGTGACGTGTTGAACAGTCCCGCTCTGGGCTCATCCTGTAAAGGACTCCACGCTGGCGCACTTGCAGTCAGGCCCATCGCAAAGGAAACAGGAACCTGCGAGGCCAGGAGGATGCCCCACCTGAGCCTGAATTGTGGGTACCAGTACCTCCACGTTCCTGGTTAAACAGCACCCAGCCCACCTCTAGCCTGCAAGAGTGAGTGGCTCCCTAGCCCCTCTCCCAAGGGTGCAGTGGATTCCAGGAGCTGTCCAGAGGCAGCTGCTTGTGGGAGGCACCAGTGTGTGGGCTGGAGCACCTACATGCCTGGATGTGCAACTTCATGCGCTATGGAATGGAGCCGTGTCCTGGAAGGGATCCAGGGCCCTGTTCTGGCTCAGAACTCCGAGGAGGTAGAGGATTCTAAATTCAACCCAGTCTTCCCAGTGGTTTTGAAGGTGTATCAGTAGGGCAGGGAGGATAGGACATGTTTTACTGATCAGTTTATACGCTCTGTGCGTCTGCACATGTTAAGGCTGGACTATTCCGGCCACTGAGGTCTGAGCCAATCTCCTTTTGCCAGCCTCTCTGCATCTTAGTTCCCTCTTCTGAGGACTGGGGCCAATCACAATATGCTCTACGATGAACTCAGTGATATAAAGTGTGTGCAGAAAGCACAGAAAACCAGTTACCAAAAAATGATGCTCCTTTAACAGTATTCATGGTCATTTTTGCAATATCTGGGAGAACTGACTTCAACAATGCAGCTGTCCCAAACCTGACTGATTATCAGAATTATCAGGGGAGCTTGTTTTTATTTTGCTTCATTTTTGATACAGGGTCTCACTATGCAGCTCAGGCTGGGCTTGAACTCACTATGTAGTCCAGGCTGGTCCCAAACTCACAGCCATCCTACTGCCTCAGCCTCTCAGGTACTGGGATTACAGACATGTGCCACCACACCTGCCTTAGAGGAGTTTGTTGAAAATATAAATTCCGAGGCCCCTGCAGCCCTGAGAAATTCCAAATTGGATTGGTCAGGTGGGGTAGGGCCCAGTCACCTACCCTACATTATATACTTTTATTATGCTGAGCTCAAACCAGTACTCAACAACTCTGAATTATCATGACAGCTTCCTAAATAGCTGTCTCTGTCTGCTCTTGTCCCTCTGTCCCCCCGATGGCAGCCACTGGGATCTTTTTAAAAGGTAAGATCAAATCAACTCACTGTCCAAACCCTCTACGGTTCTCCAACAATAGCCCTTATGCAGTCAGACAACTCAAAAGCCCTGGTGGGCTTGTGACCAATACTTGTGTCTGGCCTGATTCCAAACCAATAGAATCAGAATTTCTGAGGAAAGCGCCAAGCAGTGCTACCAGATAAAACACAGGGCACTGTTTATATTTAAATGTCAGAAACACCATAAATGTCCTGTGAGATAATGGGGTATATTCACACTAAGCATTAATCGTGTGCGACTGGAACGGAAATACATTAATTTGCTGAATTTGGCATTCCTAGGCCCAAGCATCAGCAATTTTTAAGAGCTCGCTGCTGTAGTTCACGTTTTGATAATCCCCCAAAGGCTCGAGTGCTGAATGATTGGGTCCCAGCCTGCAGCACTCCTGGGAGGTGGCAGAAGTGCGGGCAGGTGGAAAGAAGTCAAGTCATGGAGAATGTGCCCTGGAGGGGGAAATTGGGTCCCTGGTCCCACTTCCGTCTTCCACTTTGTTTCCTGGCCGCCGTGAGCCGAGCAGGCCTTCTCCGCCATGTGCCCCATCTTGACACATTGTGCTGCCATTGGCCCGGGCAAGAGGGACAAGCAACTATAGACTGAAACCATGAGCTGAGAGACCTTTCCACCTAATAAGTTGATATTTTCAGGTATTTTGTCACAGCGACAGAAAGATGACTGACACACTCGCAGTGCTGTGATGCCCATGGCCTCTGATCATGCCCACACCAACCATTTCGCCACACTCTCACCTCAGCATCTTCGTCGCTGCTGGGTCTGCCTGGGATGCTCCATCCCTGTGCCCTGTTTCTCCCTGTCAGCAGATGTCCCCTGACCCCTTAATCTACTCTCACTTTCCTTGCCTGCTTTGCTTTTTCTTTACAATAGTGGTCACTGGAAAAAACCATTATCTGTTTATCGCCCTTCCCCTAACCCCAGAATGTTAGCTCCATGTTATTACTGGAAAAACAACCTCGGTTCCTTTCCCTGTCTGTATTCTCAAGGCCTAGCACCCCACTGGTTGCTCAAAAAATCCAGGCAGAATGAGTCAGTAACTCCCCTTCTAATGCAACCCCCTAAATATCCCTTTGATGGAGAAGAGGCACAAAGATACCTTACTAGAAACATCTTTTACAGAGAATAACAGCAACTGATTTCATTGTGTGCCCTTGCTACTTTACCTGTATATACTCATTTAATCCTCACAACTCTTAAGAGGGGCCATCATTATCCTGATTTTACAAATGGAGAAACTAAATCCTTCAATGTCCAATACCCAACTTAAAAAAAGAAAACCTCAAAGGAATACACTGAGAAGGTTAAACATGTCTTCTCCATGTGTGGCGGGGTCACAGAGTAAGGGGCAGTGGTGGGCCATGGCAGTAACGACCCAACGTCAAAGGCACCTGTGTCCAACACAAGGTTTCCAACCAACTGAGAGACAGGGCAAAGCCACCATGCAGAGAAGTGTGTCACCATAAAGCCATCCCACCTGGTCAGGGCCACCAGGCCCTAAGCAAAGGAAGGCTGGCTAGAGCTTTCTGCTGTCACCCACTTCAATATGGCTTCTCTTCCATCTTAATAGGCCCGGCGGCTCAGCTGTGATCCTCATGCTCCCTAAGCCTACAAAGAAGGGACCCACTGGGAACCTTCTAGCTGCTCCTCTCTGCCCCGATGGACCATTGGGTGGACCATTGGGTGATGAGTCAGCAGAGGCTGGCAGCACTCCACACCATGTGTGCCCCAGGCTCCCAGAAGGAATGGTGGCCTCCGACCCCATCTACTCACAGTATTTCCTCCCACAGAAGCAGGCCGTCTGTCTGGGAAAACTGGAAACAGCCTTTGAGACCGTGACAATTCATATTTGGGCTCTTGAACACATCAAGTCTACCCTGCTGGGATCTAAGTTTGTTTCCTCTCCTGTACAATGGGTGTGCTGAAAACTCACCGGGTTGCTAGGGCAACAAGAGTTCCCAAGTGCCCAGAAGATGGGCACAGAACAGGAAGGGAGGGAGAGGAGCCCCCCACATCTGTGGCTTTAAATTTGAGTGGGGGCAGGCAGACTATAAACTAGCAAACAGTGAACAAAATAATTCCATAGTGTGACAAATACCACGATTAAAATAAAACAGGATTGGATGCCTAGGGTGTGATCCCACAGTCCTCAGAACGGTATCTGGCACATAGTAGGTCTTCAGTAAATAGCTGTGCAATCACCAAGTGTGCTGGTTGGTCAAGGAGGACTTGTAGGCTTGGGAAGGCAGGAACAAACGTAGACAAAGAGGGCTAAAGCACAGAACCTCGGGGTGCCAGGGCCCTGATAAGACTGGATCAAACAGGGTTAGTGAACCGAGAGAAAAGTCAGAGATAACAGACCTCTAGATATCCTCTGTAAACTCCATGGTGCAGGATACACACGTGGGAAGGCTGCTTCGGCGGCTAATTCTTTCACTTTTTTTTTTTTTTTTTCCTTAAAGACTGGGTCTCTGTGTGGTTCAAGCTGGCCTTGAACTCACTTCGTAGTCCAAACTGATTTACAGCTGGCCATCTTCCTGCCTCAGACTTCAGAATGCCGGGATTACAAGCGGGCACCATCACGCCCGGTTCTCTTTCACTTTAGAGGATGCACTTTTGAAATTTTCCATCCAAATTTCACCGCTTCGGGGTGCTCCTCTCTCGGTCTCCCCCGGACCAGCAGTTTCTGCAGAGTCCAACCCTGAGCGCCTTCCCGGGCGCCCCGCTGTCTCCTTCCTGGCCGGCGAGGGGGCCCACAGGCGACTCGGCCCGCGGCTCGGCCCGTCACTTCCTGAGGCCCGC